CGAATTCTTTCCATAATTCCACCTTGGACCCGCGTATATCGAGTGCAGCGGGATATTCCGATGCCACTGGTGAGCTCTTAAAATAGTATTTTTGAAAGTGAGTTGAAATTGGTACAATCAGGTGTCGAGTGGAGTGGAACACGGCAATCTCAGAGAGCATGCTTTGTCGCGCATGAAAGAGCTTGGCTTGGCTTGCAGAGATGTACGGACGAGAGAAGTCGGAATTCAGGCACGTCTACAGTTTCTTCATTGTTTTTTCCATATTTGACGCTTCTTGTCAACAATTATTCGAATTTAGGAAATTCACAACAAAATCAGACCATATAACGTCGAATTGATACGACGAGACTATGTCGCAAATGGTGGATGGGAAACATTTTTGTCATACGAAGACCCTGATCAGGTAATTTTGTATATCTTGCTTCTTTCCTTCGTCTACCACCAGACGTGCTTTTTGCTTTTCCTATTTTTGTAGTGCTTTTTTTCTTGTGTTATCAAATTGTCTTTTTCTATGGCAAGATCACACCGATTTTGTTTCTTCTATCTGCTTTCATCTGCGAGACTTTTGTATGTGGGCCTCTTTTTTTACATTTTGCTCTTGTAGGACATCCTCATCGGATTGTTGCGATTGAGGAAAATCTCAGACAAAGCACATCGCCCGGAGCTGAAGGTACGCTAGTTTCGCTTTTAAATTATCTAACTGATCACTCAAATGCTGTGATTTTTAAGGGACGGACATCAGTGGTACGTGAACTCCATGTCTACGGCTCTGTGGTGTCGGTTTCAGACAGAGATCCATCAAAATTCCAACATCAGGTCTGTCATGGTGCAATCACGGCTTTTGCTTGTTTTTGAAGGTTTGGTTATCTTCAGGGCTTTGGCCAGTTACTCATGGAGGAAGCAGCTAGGATAGCTTTTTACGAGCACAAGTCTGAAAAGATTGTTGTGATATCCGGCGTTGGAACAAGAGACTACTACAGGTATCATAAAAGCATTTATTTTCTTCTTGTTGTGCTCCTGGGTAATTCGACGTTTCAGGAAGCTCGGATACGAACTGGATGGACCATATATGAGCAAACCACTAAGCGCTGAGGATTTTGAGTCCGAGTGATGAAGGATGACTGGATCTTACTTTGCGTTGAACACTGCGGTATATTTGCGGCAGCGGGTTTCATACGAAAAATTTTAGCCTAAAGGTTCATAAAATCAAGTTCTGTACGACAAATGGTGCAGGAGTTGGTTCTAGATTAAACTAAATAATCAACGAACTTCTTGCTTTTGGTATGTTTTTTGTACGTACTGCATAAGTGCTAGCTTACATAATCTGTGTCCAGGAGAGAATCTTACAGACACATCATGTTGATGTTGCTAATGTACTCAAATGTGCAAATGTTAGATATTCTAGTTGTTGATTTTTTCGTTGAAATATTGTTGTTGTTGGTAAAGTTATAAAATGGTGTGTTACCTTTTCATACTAAAGGCATCGAAGGGAGATCTAATTTCTGAGAAAAGTAACGCTAAGCAACGGATTGCATGTGAATGAAATGTGAACGTCACAGAACAGTGTTTGGGCAAAAATG